GCACGCACGCACGCACGCACGCACGCACGCACGCACACACACTTTTTGGATTCTGCTGGGTATATCAGACTGTTCCCCGGACCACCATAAATGTTAGCTTTGCACAGATGTTAACAAGCAATATCAGCAACCTCAAGATAACAATCGTATGGTTAAGAATAGCGAGTGAATTTTTTCATGAAAACGTTTTTTGAAAGGTAGACTACATTTTTTTTTTACCAAAAACGATTTTTTCTGATGTAATGATTTAGAATATCTTGTAAAGCGGTGTCTGTAAAATTAGCTAGGTGTGTATTATTCTGCCCGAATCCATGAAACAAAAAAATTATTACAACATGTTTCAGAAACACTTGTAGTGCCAGTTTTAATTATTAAAACTACAGTACATAATAGTAAAAGTTTACAACAATGTTATGCTAGAACAATAACTATCTTCACTTAAACTGGATGGTTTCGGCAGCACATACTGGACTATCTATCTTGCATGGATTAATGAATTTTTTATTAGTTTTCGTTCAGACCTGTGCATAGCGCGACCGACGGAGGACATGGATAACACAGATATACAGACGTAAGCGATACGATAGTGATAGCATTCTCTCAGACGCATAGCGACACACTTCGCTCATCTTACGGGTTGACGAAATAGTACAGAGATACGCAGCCCTGCTGAATATACACCACGCATCACGAGCCTTTATCCTGAGCACTGAGTTTCTTGAAACGGTAATGATTGGAGTTCTCGATCACTAACCATCTATGGTGACTGCAACTGTCTAGATCATGCAGGTTCTATTGATACAGCTTATTCGCCTAAAACCAATTATTACAATTATTCCACTGTCCTGGCTGCTTAACTGGAGCCACGCTACTTCATGCACGAATTCAATTTCAGTCTCTATTACTCTCTCCGGTTGTTCTGCATAGCTCCATCTGGCACCTCCTCCGTAAAATATTCCAACGCAGTCAATAATTTTGTTTCAGAACTTCATTCTGAAAACCGTTATCGACGTGGGCCGCATACCAAACAAAATCCCGCGATTTCGTACGGCGCAGAGGAACTGCGGCGGCGGAGCAGCGTGTTGGTCCAGCAGGTGGCGCTAGTGGTCGCGAGCTCGCAGCTCAACCGAGGATGAGGCCGATGCCGACCCGTGTCATGTTTTTCTGGTGGTTCATCATGGCGCTGAGAGCGAAGGTGAAGGGGAGCGGCTGTAGTCGCTTCTCCAGAACGGCTCCTACCTGCATGTTGCTGTCGAACATACCTGCGCACAACAAACCACACACACGGCATTACGAGAGAGCTGTGAGGTCGCACCGCTGCTGTCGCACCGAAGAATGCTGAGCGACATCGCCTATACTGCTGCTGCTGCTGCTGCTGCTGCTGCTGGTGGTGGTGGTGATGCTGTTGCTGGTGGTGGTGATGCTGCTGCTGCTGCTGCTGCTGGTGTTGCTGGTGGTGGTGATGCTGCTGCTGCTGGTGGTGGTGATGCTGCTGCTGCTGCTGCTGCTGGTGGTGGTGGTGCTGCTGCTGCTGCTGCTGCTGCTGCTGCTGCTGCTGCTGTTGGTGGTGAGCTGCTGCTTGCTGGCTGCTGTGTGGTGGGTGTGGTGGTGATTATTGCCTGCCTGCTGCTGCTGCTGCTGCTACTGCTGCTGCGCTTGCTGGCTGGGCTCTGCTGGTGGTGGGTGGTGGTGTGGTGTGTGTGGATGCTCTCTGCTGCTTGCTGCGCTGCTGTGGTGGTGGTGGAGTGGTGATGATGGCTGATGCTGATGCTGATGCTGCTGCTGCTGCTGCTACTGCTGCTGCTGTTACTGCTTACTGCTGCTGCTGCTGCTGCTGCTACTGCTACTACTGTTGCTGTTGTTACTACTGCTACTACCAATACCATGTAGAGAATTCATTTTATGTCGCACCGTTACCGGGTATTAAATATTGCTGCTACCCCACTTAGAGGGAATGAATTTTGCCCAACATAGGGACACGATCACAGCTTTTCGCAGGCAACCGCCAAAACCGCGAGAGCACACTCACCTTTGAAGACTACGTTGGCCTTTGGCATGTCTATCTCGTAACCGATGGTGGCCACGCTCTCCTGCATCCGCAGGTTTGCCTCGAGCTCAACCCCCACCTGTAGCTGATCACTTGCCTTGTGCCAGTAGCACGCGTGCACGCCGGCGCCACCTATCTGTCCACTCGCTGTGAATTTATCACCTGCAGGCGGAAGCGACGCCGTGACGTAATTTAGTCACGTTACGTTATTGAACCGTGATTTAGAAGCGAATTAATGTATCGTGCTTATTTTACAGTAACCGCACGTATTGGTTCGGGCATTTACTTCCACAGCTGTATGGAATGAGATTTCCATAAAACGTATATAATTTGCAATAGTTGCTCGACACTTGTGCAATAATATTTTCTTACACAGGCACATTAAAGTTTACGCGAATATGTATGGATTCTGAGTATTTCTGTTGGTGTTTATTTAAAGTAACAAACTCACACAGATTAGTATTCACTCGGTGAAATTCAGGCCTTGCTAGATTACAATAAAACAAGTATATTTGTACCAAATTTTTTAAAGGATTTCCCGACATGGTGCCTAACCCTGTACGACTAGGTACTCACCGGTATATTTGCCTCCAACGCTGAGCACTCCAATCTGTGTTCCGGGGACGGCCTGGCCGTACTGATACGCTAACTCAGCGCCCATGGCTAGTCTATCCGTTACACGTTGCAGGTAATGGCACACTATCACGCCTACAACAAACAATCAACTATCAGTGCCAGGATTGCTGATGGCAAATCACACCTAGAGCCGAATTCAACTCACGCCGAAGCAACTATATTTACATATAAATAATAATATATGTAAATATAGTTGCTTCTATATATTATCAAGAGTACATAATAGAGAAGAGTATGACACCGTTTTAACAGCGTTTTGCATAGTTTTCAACTTGTAAATATTCTATCAATATGTGAATAATTATATTCAAACTTTACCTTATTTTCACTGCCAGCTGACTGCCTGCTGTCCTCCGCTATTTAGCGGAGGCATAGCGGAGCGCTCGTGAAACAGGAGTTGTCCGTTCGCTAAGTTCTCCGTTATGCCTCCGTTCGCTAAAGAGCGAACGGAGAACTTAGCGGAGAACTTTAACGGAGCTTTGTGAAACGCGCCCCAGCCTTGCTTAGGCTTTAATTAGGTTCGCGTACGTACAAATTAAAATGGTATACCCTACAACACGCTGCGCCGGGAGGGGGGGCGGTAGTGCACCGTTTTTGCTTTAGCTAGGCTGTGAGGGTTGTAGTCTATACATACTATTAGTATTAGTATTACTAGTGGCACTACGGTTAGTAGTGGTGACACTCTGTCATACAAATTACAATGATCATGATTAATAATCGCGATCTCGAAAGAACGTGCTACGTAATTGAGCGGACGTTGAAATCCATATTGCAGGGCGGAGTACAGCGCATTTTGGAAATGCGTTCAAGCCGGCATGATGTACATGTTCACGCAACTGTGCAAGATGATGGTTCTGGCAACATTCTTCCCAGCGGCGGACACCGTCGGCGGAAACTTTGACGTAGTCGGGGTGATTACTCATTCGAATTATGTCTAGCTCCACGTGTTTCATAAAATATAATGCACACATATCTCTACTACGATCGTATCTACTTTACATGTACAGGTGAAGGTAACCAAACGTATAATAATCATTGAATTGTAAGATAAATCTAAAACATTACTGGAGCGACAGTTTCGATATTGATCTGCTGCCTGTGTCAATCTGTACAAGCAGATATATACTGTCTAATCCAATGCTGTAGTGAGATTTTGGATCTACATCAAAATCAAACCATATTACGTGATGGAATGAAATCCGTCAACATCACTTCAGGATAATTACACGTGTTTTTTTTAAAACTTGATTAAATCGTTGTAGGAATTTTTGAAGTCAACCGTTGACCTCGCCGACCTCGTCGGGATTCACATGGTGATGTCGTGGATCGCCAGTAAAGGAGAGATCAAGTTTCTCGTTGCCGGCATGGGTTGGGCCACGGCGGAATTAGTCATGACCAGGTGAGGTCCTGTAGCGGGTTCAGGATCGTGCTATTATTATATATTTCTTATTAATATGTACTAGGCAGAATATATCATATCATATCACATGTATTCATGATAACAGTTTGTCATTATGACATTGTGGCTAATCTTCCTGTTACTTAATGAATGCTAGCGTTCAACTGCCTTCTAATGTTTTATGTTTTTCCATCAGGATTTTTCCGTTGTGGGTCGGAGCGAGAGGAGTAGAATTTGACTGGAAATACATTCAACTCAGCCTGGATTCAAATGTCAGTCTGGTAAGTTTTCAGTTGGAAGTCCTAATAGGTATCACGGTTAGTTTTCAATGTTTGACTCACTAACCTTGCAATTTTCGATCGTTGAAATGACGACACACTGCAATATTAAAGCTTTAGATATAAATTTCAATTAAATTCTACAAACACGTTTACGATATCATAGTGATATCACAGTCCTTATCATTATCTCTCGAGGATTTCTAACAGTAAAAAAATAGCGTGTAATGTTTGTGTACGAGCGCTGCTGTTGTGTGACAGTCCTTAATGAGAAATTTCTGCAATGACTGAGTTCTCTGCTGTACAATGCTGAACCACGCACACACACAGGTTCACCATATCACGACAGCGGCTTTGGTGTGGCTCTGGAGCCGACACGACCTGCAGAAAACGTACCTTCCCGTTGTCATGCTGGCGCTCGGCATGAGTTGCTACCGGCCTCTCATCGTCGAGTGAGTATGCTCCTCTTATTGTAGAGTATGCTCCTCTTATTGTAGAGTATGCACCTCTTATTGTAGAGTATGCACCTCTTATTGTAGAGTATGCACCTCTTATTGTAGAGTATGCTCCTCTTATTGTAGAGTTAATTACCTGTAATTACAGATGCGATTCGCGAACAGCGCCTGCTTGTAAAGCATATGATAGGTTCTTCGTAGTTACAGAGCTAGCTTGAAAAGAGATAAGGGAGTTCGCCTCCGGTGATCACAAGAACACCCTTACCAAGAACAGTAGCACTTGCGGAGAGCACGAGACCGGTCCCCAAGGTGTGGCACTGATCTGCTCTCAAGTGCATAAGCTACTAATTAATTGATTATATTAAGGTGAAAATTAACTAATAATAATTAATTGGATTTTCCGGCGATTAGTGCGAGCGCTGCAGGTTTGGGGAGGCACTGGTGTGGCCCGCTTGTACGCCTGGCTTGGTTGTTGCTTGGTTTGTAAGGTCTACAGCTTGCAGTCTGGCACCAGCTATGGTCGGAAGTGGTATTGCCTCGTCGTACTTACTTGCGTTAATTACTCGCCTAGCCGTCAGCAGTATGCTGAGAATGTCTGGCGGTGCAGTGAATGGGTGACGGTTGAGAGGTTAACGTGAGGTAGCTACTTCTACGTACATCTGATTGCACGGTTTAATAATCCAAATCGACAGGGTTAAGATGTGTAGAGTACGCTTGTATACCGACGTGTGCGCTAGGTTTAGAGTTACGCAAATGGCTAGCGCTATAGGTCGGGTGTAGGATGTGTCGTGTACGGCTGGAGGCGCTTTATGTGGTACATTAGAGTACTTTGGCGCTAGTTTACGCCCGGGCGTACAGGCGTGTGCTGTGGATAAGCGTGATAGCCTGGGTCTATTGGAGTTTCGGCTAACGCAAGGTACGTTAGGGTACTGCAGCGCCACTTCACGTTAACGGGGCGCGATTGTGTCGCCTGTGTTATTGGCAGGCCCGGGCATCGTCGAGCAGAGTAGCGCGCGTGTGTCGCTCGAGTTTGCATTCTATAGTCTCTGCTAGCGAGCACAGCATTGGCAGAAGCCTGCATCAGTCTTTATTCCAAATATTGCTTCTGCAAAGTGTCATAAACATCTGCTAGGGAGCAACGAAGTGGAAAAGCAAAAGGAAGGAGGGAAGAGTACAGATTCTTCCCGTGTCAGAGCAGAGTTGGAGGTGGGAGCGTTCAAAGAGGGGCATGAGATATGAACCAGGTTGGAGAGAGAGGAGACGCCGAGACGACGCAGACAGGTCCACGAGAGTGAGCTCGTACTGCCTAGAGCGAGCGTCGAGCAGCGATGAGGACTGGATTGGCCAAGGCCACGCTCCCTCAGAAGAAACGAGAAAAAACCATAAGAGTGGACTGAAGTTCACGACAGCTCGGAGGACCAAATCTTCGCTACGTGAAGCCAACACGGAGCGCTCTATGACCTAGAGAAGCGACGCCATGACTGTCCTTCGTAACGACCAAGTCAGAGATTATGAGATCTGGGCAGATGGCTATATATTTCACAAGTCCACGAGCGTGTGGTAAATGCAAAAATCTGTCAAAACATAGGGACTCGATTGACTCGACTATGACCTGACTGACAGACTGACTACGACTGAACGACTGACTGACTGACGACTGACGACTGACCACTCCACTCACTCACTCACATCCTTCAATCGCACTCACGAGTTCACTCCACTGACCCACTTCACTCATGCACTCACAACACCGTCACGAATACAGTCACATCACCACTCACTCACTCACCTCACTCCACGCTCACTGTCACTCCTGCGTTCACTCACTCACTCACTCACTCACTCACTCACTCACTCACTCACCCACCCACGCCACCCACACTTTCATCTTCACGTCACTCACTCATCGTCCCTCCACTCACATCACCTGATCTTGACCTGACGCGCGATCCGGGGTCACCACTCCACACTCACGTCACCACCCACTTCACTCACTCACCACTCACTCACTCACGAGTCACTCACTCGTTTGACGGAATTCGATACGGCCCGATGCGATACATATCGGTACGAACGTACGGTCCAATACGTGTTAGCCCATACTTCAAGGTACGCAAGGTACGTTCGATTATGCGGGCCTGACGGGGGAACGTTCGCACTCACGGTACGTTATCATTACTCCAGAACGTACCCTAAATTTCAGGTGTATCCAGGATTTTTCATGGTGGGATCGTGAATCAAATTTGAGACCTTTCACAACGCAATAGCAGCAAGACGTTACAAACTGTCGATACAGCATACAGGCGTGTACAATTTTGAGCCAGGGGGGGGTCCCTAACCGTAACGCGCAAACCTGGTAGCGTACGACGAAGGGGGCGGTCTGGGGGCCCCCCCGAGAAAATTTTGAAATTAAGACCTCCTTAGATCGTTTCTGCGCGAGCTAGGGTGCCGGACCCCCTGGACCCCCCTGTACACGGCGCCTTGACAATTTAATTAAAACTCCAAACATTAGGTTCAAAAAAAAATTACATTAAAAAAACAAGTATTTGCTGATTGCAGTTGAAAACAGTTTTTGAACTTTTTGTCTTTATCTTGTTCTGTCTTGTCCTTTGTCAGTCTTTGTCCTCTCTTTATGAAAGCAAAATTTGTTAAAAAAAAAGGCTCAGTTTCAGATTGCTGGAATTGGGAAGATTACGTCCGTGCATGGCAATGTCTTTGACTCATTGCTGACCTTGATCTTAATCATTAGTCATTAAAAAGGCCCTCGAAAAAAATCTTTGGAAAACATGTGGACCTTAAAATTTTGGGGGTCGTACGACCCATCAGACCTCCCCCCCTGCATACATGGCCCATGAATTTCGAGCATGTTCAAACCAATTAAATGCCCGCTCACGCAGAATCGACGTTAACTACATAAAGGGCTAGCGCTCCCGCTAACTTTGATCAGACTTACTCTAGGCTTTTCAATAACGTACTGAGGCTAGGTTCCAGTACGTTATGGACTTAGCGGTACTTAACTCCCGGTACGTTGAGCTAAGTTAAATAGCGCAGTGAGACCGTACAGACACTAAACGTGCGTATAACACACCAACACACAAACCGCAATCACTCAAAACCTCGCGGGTGAAAACATAAACCCCGCCATTGCCTCTGTCGTCGTAATAAATAAAATGTAAAAGACTAACCACCGTCATACTTTACCAAGGCCAACTTGCCTCGCTGGTATGCTCCGACACACAGGACAACCCACTCCCCGTTCCACACACCTACGCCCGCACAGCACCCCTTCCAAACACACACGCAGCACCCCCCGTCCACACACACACCCGACCCCCTCACACACGCACGAGTATCTGCTGCTTCTGGCGCGTCGCCCCGCACGCACCCTCTCCACACACACACGCATCGCACACCACTATCCCCTCCACACACACACACCACCCGACACCCGTCCACACACGCACGCACCGCCACTCACCCCTCCACACACAACGCACGCACGCACACATGCCCCCTCCACACACATGCCACGCCGCCAGCCACGCACGTACGCACCCCCTCCACACACACACAGAACTACACGCACGCACGCACGCACACCATCCCCCTGCCACACACCCCACGCACTCCACCCCTCCACACACGTCACGCATCACCCACCACCCATCCACAGCACACCACGCACCACACCACCCCCTCACATCACACACACGCACGTACGCAACGCACCCCCCCACACACACACGCACAGCACAGCACCCCCTCCACACACAACACACACGCACGCACGAATGTCAAGCGCACCCACTCCCTCCACACACACGCACCACTCACACCCTCCACACACGACTCACCACCCCACCGCCCCTCCACACACTGGTGGTGCTCGCACGCACGCACGCACGCCCCTTGCCACACCACACGCACGCACCCCACCCCTCCCACACACACCGCACGAAACTCCCCCCCCCTCCACACACTATGCACGCCCCCACCCCTCACAGCACGACACACACGAACCACCACCCCCCCACACGCTGTCTGATTCGACGCCACCCAACCACACCCTCCACAGCATCACGCTCGCACGCCGCCCCCCAACACGTCACTGCACACGCACCCACGCCACTCCACACTCGCCCCACCCACGCCCCTCCACACACGCACTCCACTCCACCCCCTCTCAACACTCACGCACGCACCCCCCCCGCCCCCACATTGGGCGAGACGGTCTCGTCTTGACACGCACCCACAACACACACGCACGCACGCAGCGCCACCCCCTCCACACACGCACCGTCGTGTCACCCACGCACTCACCCCCTCCACACACGCAGCAACGCACCGCACCCTCGTCACACATTGACACAGGCTTGCGACGCACACGCACCCACCGGGCCCCACACACCACGCGGCTAGTCACCACGCACAGCACACACCCCTCATCACACACACCACCACCGACCACGCTACCCCCTCACACTACCCCACGCACGCACGCACCACGCACGCACGCACCGCACACACCACGCACGCACAACACACGTTTTGGATCTGCTGTATATCACTGGTTCCCCGACCAACTCATAAATTACTTTGCACAGATGTAACAAACAATTCAGCAACCTCAAGAAACAACCGTAATGGTTAAGACAGGCGAGTGAATTTTCATGAACACGTTTTTGCCAAATAGACTACATTTTTTTTTACAAAAACGATTTTCGATTCCTGATTTAGAATACTGTAAACGGTGTCTGTAAAATTACTAGTGTGATTCTCCCGAATCCATGAAAAGAACAAAAAAATATTACAACATGTTCCGACAACACTTGTAAGTGGCCCAGTTTTAATTATAAAACCTTACAGTACAGTAATATAAACCAGTTCAACAATGTTATCATAACAATAACTATCTTCACTAAACTGGATGGTATCGGCAGCACATACTGACATCATCTTGCAAATGGATTAATGAATTCTATTAATTTCGTTCAGCCTGTCCACTACGCGAAGCCGAACGGTAGGACAGAGATACACAGATATCACAGACTAAGCGATAAAAGTGATAGGGCATGTTCTCTCAACGCATAGCGACCACACGCTTCCTTCATCTACGGGTTGACGAAATAGCTACAGAGATACGCAGCCCGCGCTGAATATCCACCACCGCTCACGAAGCCTTTATCCTGAGCACCCCGAGTTCTCTGAAACGAATGATTAGTCTCCCATCACTAACCATCTATGTGACTGCAACCCATATCATCAGGTTCTATGATCCAGCTTATTCGCCTAAAACCAATTATTACAATTATCCACTGTCCTGGCTGCTTAACTGGAGCCACCTACCTCATGCACGGAATTCATTTCATCTCTCTCTATTTACTCTCCGTTGTTCTCCATCAGCTCCAGTCGGCAGCTCCCCGTAAAATATTCCAACGCAGTCAAGTATTTGTCAGAACTTTCATCTTAAACCGTTACGGACCCCGGTGGCCGCATACCAAACGAAACCCGCGATTCGTACGGCGCAGAGGCAACGCCGGCGGAGACACTGTTGCCACAGGTGGCGCTAAGGTCGCGAGCGTCCGCAGCCAACCGGAGATGAGGCGCGACGCCCCTGCATGTTCTCTCTGGTGGTCACATGCGCTAGACGGAAGGTAAGGGACGGCTTGTCGCTTCCCAGCACGCTCCTACCTGCATGTGCTGCGAACATACCTGCCACAACAAACCACACACACTGCAATACGAGAGAGCTGTGAGCTCAGCCGCTGCTGTCGCACCGAAAGAATCTGACGACCTCGCCTATACTCCGCTGCTGCTGCTGCTGCTGCGCACTAGTGGTGTGAGCTGTTGCTGGGTGAGCTGCTCTCTGCCTGCGCGGGTGCTGGGTGTGGGATGCGCTGCTCTGGTGTGTGATCGCTCGGCTGCTGCTGCTTGCGGCTGTGGGGTGATGCGCTGCTTGCTATCGGCTCTGCTGCTGCTGGTGGTGTGTGGTGTGATCGCTGCGCGGCGCGGGTTGATCTTCTGCGCGCCTGCGGGGTGGTGTGGTGTGGTGTATGCTGCTGCGCTGCGCTGCTCTACAGCCTGCTGCTCGCTGCTGCTGCTGCGTGTGGTGGTGGGTGTGTGGTGTGATGCTTCCTGCGGGCTGCTGCGCGTGGTGTTGGTAGGGTGATGAGTGCTGAACTCGATGGCTTGACTCTGCTGCCCTGCTGCACGCTGCTCGCTGTTACTTGCTCCGCGCTCTGCTGCTGCGGCTACTGGCACTTGGAGCTGTTCTGTTGTACACCGCACTACCATACATGTAAGATTCATTAGTCGCACACCTTACGGTCAATAAAATGCCTACCGCCACTTTAAGGAATTAATTTTGCCCAACATAGTACACGATCACAGGCTTTTCGCACAACCGCCAAAAACCCGGCGAAGACAACTCACCTTTGAAGGGGACACGTTGGCCTTTGCATTCTATCTCGTAACCGTGGGCCACGCTCTCCGCATCCCAGGTTGCCCGACTCAACCCCCACACTGTACTGATGCACTTCCTGTGCCAATACAACCGTTGCACCCGCACCACCTACTCTGTCCACCGGCTCGTGAATTATCACACTGCAGGCGAAGCGACCCGTACAATTAGTCATTTTACGTATCATTGACCGTATTAGAACGAAATTAGTATCGTGCTCTTTACAGACCGCACTATGTTCGGGCATTACTTCCACACGTATGGAATGAATTTCATAAAACTATATAATGCAATAGTCTCGACACTTCAAGACTATTTTCTTACACAGCACCATTAAAATTTACCGAATATGTATGGATCAATTCTGTGTTATTAAATAACAAACTCACAACAGATAGATTCACCGGGGTGAAACAGGCTGCTAGATTACAATAACAACAATATATGACCCCACAATTTTAACAAAGGTATTTCCGACATGGTCCTAACCCCTGTACGACTAGTCTCACCGTATATTTGCCTCCAACCCCTGAGCACTCCAACTTGTGTCCGGGACGGCCTGCCGACTGAACCAACTCAACGCCCAAATCGCTATCTACCGACAGCTTCTGGTACAGACCACTAATCACGCCGTACAACAAACAGACAATCAACTACAATCCAGGACCTGACTGCAAATCACTGCCTAAGCCGAATCATACTCAACACCGAAGCACACTATATTTACATATAAATAACTATATAATGTAAATATACGTTGCTCATATATACAAGAAGACAATAAAAGAAATACGGACCACCCTGTTCTTAACATCGTTTCCATAGTTTCAAACTTCTTAATATCCAGTCAATATGTACTAATATACTCAAACTTACCCTTATTTTCGTCTATATCCCCTTAATCAACTAACCCACCAATTTAACTGAAAATCGATGTCTTCAAAAATTCTTGTGAAATCGACACGGTTCACAAACGAGTTCCCACAAGTTGCCACAATGCACATGTGTACGGGCGAAAGTAGTGAGGGATTACTCATTGTCTCTATCTGTGATGTATTACAGACCTGGCGCCGCCGCATAGCACTGGGTGGACTTCGCCTCACAACATGCCTGCCACTTCGTGGAAAGTTTAAACCGTCGTATTCAAAAACTTTTTGAAAGAACACAACATTTTCGGGTAAATGGGGGTCATAAGACCAATAGAATCATCGACAAAACAAGTAAATTGAAATAATTATCACATATTATAGAAATTACAAGTTTAAACATGCAAAACGCTGTTAAAACCTGTCATACTCTTCTCTATTATTCACTCTGATATA